AGACAGAGCTGAGCTCTGTCACTTAGGCTGGAGTGCAGTGGCATCATCTCAGCTCACTGCAACCTCCGCCTCCCAGGTTCAAGTGATTCTTCTGCCTCAGCCCCCCAAGTAGCTGGGATTACAGGCACGCACCACCACGCACAGCTAGTTTTTGTGTTTTTAGTAGAGATGGGGTTTCCCCATGTTGGCCAGGCTACTCTCGAACTCCTGACCTCGTGATCCACCCACCTCGGACTCCCAAAGTGCTGAGATGGCGGGCGTGAGCCACCGCGCCTGGCCTGGGTGTGTTTCATGTGCTGCTCACATCGTCCGCATCACAACCTAGAGGAGTTGCAGCTGCAGATGACACAGCAGAGCCTCCTGAAAGTGAAGTCACTTGCTGCGTGTGAAGATGCCCAGCACTGTGGCTGTTACGTGGCACTTGTTTGCCACGTACTGCTGTTTGGGAAAAGCTCCCTCAAACGGTGTTTTTCCTCTGCCCTCACTCCAAGACAGCAGCAGTCATCAACACAGGAGACTGCTGTGACCAAATGTGTGGGGGCTTCTCCCACCACCAAGCAAGCAGTTAATTCTCTAGCAGACACCAGCTGGGTGTGCTCCAGTTCAGTTCCAGCACAAAGGTCAGATCCCACGGGTTGAGGGTTCCGTCCCCATGACTGCCTGCTCCTCCAGACACCAGTTGCAAGTCTGGGCTTCCAGAACTTCTGACGGACCAGCTGCAAGTTGGGGTTCCCATGACCCCCTCTTTGGGTTTGATTAATTTGCTGGAGCGGCTCACAGAACTCAGGGAAATACATTACTGGTTTATTATAAAGGATATTGTTAGGATACAGATGAAGAGATGCATAGGGTGAGGTATGGGGAAGGGATGTGGAGCTTCCATGCCTTCCCTGGGCCCACCACCCTCCACGAAGCTCCACATGTTCAGCTGTCTGGAAGCTCTCCGAACCCTGGCCTTTTGGGTATTTACGGAGGCTTCCTTACGTAAGCATGACTGACAACTGTGTAGAAGTGTGAGTGGACAAAAAGCGCCTGATCTAAACCCAGCAAGGCCTGTCTGCCTAGACTTTCCTTGGCCTCTCTGTGGCATTCCTTCCTCCAGGGTATGGGGCAGGACCCTCTCTGGAATGACCCATGATCAGATTAGAGGTCTGCCTTGGACAGGTGAAAGGAGGACAGGAGTAGGTCAGAGAGAGAGAAATTGTGTTTCCTGAGGCCTGCTTCTGAGGCCTAAAGTGTCCCACATTATAACAGAAGACTGTACAAAGGGTTTTACATACATAAACAAATATGTATTCATAGTACAAAAGTAATTGCAGTTTTTGCCATTCTTTAAAAAAAAAAAAATGGCAAAAACTGCAATTACTTTTGCACCAGTCAATTATGTAACTATCACAACTATCTATACCTCTCCCACTTCCTTTTTTTTTTTTTGAGACGAAGTCTTGCTCTGTCGCCCAGGCTGGAGTGCAATGACCGTTCTCAGTTTACCGCAACCTCCGTCTCCTGGTTCAAGTGATTCTCCTGCCTCAGCCTCTCAAGTAGCTGGATTACAGGTGTGTGCCACCACGCCTGGCTAATTTTTGTATTTTTAAACAGAGACGGTGTTTCACCACGTTGGTCAGGCTGGTCTCAAACCCCTGACCTTGTGATCCACCCACCTCAGCCTCCGAAAGTGCTGAGATAACAGGCGTGAGCTTCTTCTTGAGATTGGGAAGCAGCTCAGGTCTGCTCCTTTTGATATCGAAACCTTTTTTGGTGGGAAGCCTGGACTTCAGCATCTGACCCACATGGGTTCCACTCCCACCTCTGTTCCTTACGTAGGCTTGAATGATACATGTAAGAGCTGCTGTTTCCTGAGTGCTTCCATATGCTAGGCATGCTAAGTGGGCCGCTGCCTCAAATCCTCCACAAGCCTATGTGCAGATGGGGAAACAGAGGCTCAGAAAGAGAAGCCACCTGCCCCTGGTCACAAGGGTTGGCAAATTGCGGTCAAGATTCGATCCCAAACCTGTGAGGCCAAAGCCCACTCATTGATCCACCACGTGGTGCTGTGGACAAATCCTTTCACCCCTCAGAGCTGCAGCCGCCTCGTCTGTCAAATCGGGAGGAGTACCAGTGGCTGGCAGGCACCCAGGACAGGGTCTGGCCTGGTTTGCACTTGCTTCCTTGCCACTTGCTTGGGCATTTTCCTGGGTTTCTGATGCCTCAGGCTCCTAGTGGGGCTACGGTTTGGGAGTGAGTGCCAGGGACCAGCTTGCAGTTCCTTTCAGAACCGATGGTGTTCTCGGGTTTATTAGGCAACCAGCTCAGGGCTTTGATGAGCTCACTAAGATGTATGGACCTCATTATCAACCAAAGGACTCACATCTATTTCAATCCTCCCTTCCTCCCTGCTTTCTCATTTAAACTGTTAGGACTGGATGCAAATCATGGGAATTTGCTTCATCTAGTCATACATGTGCCTAGTCCACACATGACTGTGCTTTTGCATGTCACAGTCCTGCAGGCAGAGACCTTACTTGGCCCACTTTGGGCAATGACTGAATCCCGTCAACATCTGTCAAGTAGGAAAAATAGTGGTGCCTGACTCGGAATGTGTGGCCTGAACGAGGCTCTGTACTTACACCGTTTAGCATTGTGCCCGGCTTGAGCTGATTGGTGGCAATTATTGTTATTTTTAAAGGAGATCTTGTTGGACTGGATTATGGAACACGTGGTCCTGCCAGGCCCAGGGCCCACTGTCTGCCCTCCATGGGAAGATAGAGAGGCGGGTGACAGAACACTGAGTAACAATCAGGAGATCTCATTTCAAACCCCACCTCTATCACCAGTGAGCTGTGTGACCCTAATGAACTCACTCAGCCTTTTGAGGCCTCAGTTTCTTTAGGCACAAAATGGAGATAATTCTAGTCCCGATCTTATGGGTTGCAGTGAAGTTCCAATGATACAGCAATCCTGATAACTAGTTTTTATTGAGGAGGGTCTCTGATGGATGGTTGAGCCAGTGGTGGGGGGAGTACTGGGAAGTACTGGGGGAGCAGGCAGTGTAGGGACATCTTGGTATTGGGAGGGGACAGTGAGGGGGAACTTGGTAGAGGGAGATGGTGGAGGAGGAAGAATTTTGCCAGAGGGAGGGAGCAGTGTGAAGAAGGGCCTGAAGAGAGGGAGGAGGGCAGGTGGGCCTGGGTAGAAGGAGGGAGAGTGGGGGCTACCCTCCAGGAGTCCTCCTGGCCAGCAGCCCTGCCTTAGCCTAGACTAACCACACCGTGCTCTCACAGCTGGCTGCACCTTTGAGGAGACAAGTGACCCAGCAGTGCCCTGCGAGTACAGCCAGGCCCAGTACGATGACTTTCAGTGGGAACGAGTGCGAATCCACCCTGGCACCCGGGCCCCTGCAGACCTGCCCCACGGTAAGTCCACTCTCCATCACCATGACCCCTTCCTCTCCTTCCAGAGGCACTTCTTCCCACGTGCTGTGTGACCTTGGGCACGTTACTTAACCTCTCTGGGCCCCACCTGCATTTGCATCTGTAATGACGTACGTACATGACACCGAACATGGCTTTCTCTGGACACTGTCTAATTGTGTATGTAGGTAGATTTGTGTGTAAAATGAGTGCAGGTTCAAGCCATGAAAGGCCCTCATGGCTGTGCGTTAAAACTCACTTCCAATTATTCCCCTTGCTGCCTAGCTCAGGATCCAGCCCACCCCCACTCTCAGTTCTTCTAAATCCTCCATCTTTGGGAGGCTCTCTTCAGAGACTCTTTTCTCCCAAAGAGCCCTTGAATCCTAGTCTCCCTAGGACTAGAAGATACTGAAAGAGCAGTAACATTGGGACTAGATGTGTGTAAAACCTTTCTTCCTCTGCCCTGTTCCTCCTGGAAGTCCCAGATCCTTCTCGACTTCTACCTTGCTCTGTTCCTATTTCAAGATGGGGCACCTTTGTCATCCTGAGCTCTGGCCTGGGAGGCAGGAGACTAACAATGTGGATTCTGGTACTGACTTCCTGCTTTCATCGTGGCCCCTAGAGCACTCTGTTCAGCGTCATGAAGACCTGGGCCCAAACCCTGGCTCCATCACTTTACCAGCAGTGCGACCTTGGGCAAGTCACCTAATGTCTCTGAACCTCCATTGTCTTCACTGTAAAATGAGGCAAACAAGACTCCATTCAGAGGGTCACGAGATGCTGCGCGTCAAGTACAGAGCACAGGGGGGCATGCAGGGGCTCAGTTATTTGGTTGCTATTTTTGAGTGTCTTTGAGGGGGCCCGATCATTAGTACCCCTCTTTACTGGATACAGAATCAACTGTGAATTTAAAAAGAGTGAGACAAATAAAGACCAAATTGTTAACTTTATTACTGATGAGGGCTGTGTCAGAGGACACTGATGGCATGGGAATCAAGTGGGCTTTCTGAGTGAATCCCTAGATTCCACAGCCTGAAGCCCCTCCCTTTGCCCCATCATGCTAGTGCCCAGGGTCTTTACTGCCCAGCTCACAGCATGGCTGAGATTGCATCTGTTGTCAGGGAGGGACAGGAAAGATTCTCAGTGGCGGGGCCAGGACTCGAAGCCACTAGGAGAGATGCCCTTCATGGCCTGGCACAGGTGCCCTCGCAGACTCCCACCGCTTGCCCTACCCCCCCCTTCTGTGCATTCACTCACACTGTTCCCTTTCTGGGGCACTTATATCTGCCTCTGCAGGTATTAGTGGGTATCGCAGTTTGACTGGTCTGAAAACGATCTGTAAAGGTACCCACCATGGTAGGGACCTCTTGTGGGCCTCTCCGTATTCCCAGGGCCCAGGCTTAGTCTGATACATGGCACACAGGTACAAGACAGCTGATTGGAATTCCTTTTATCACCTCTTACAGTGCTGACCACCCTGAGTGCTCTCTGCCTCTCTTGTCATGTGTAAGCAGAGACATACCCAGTGATAAAGGGGAGAGGGGAATTTAGCAATTAGTGTGAGCCTTGGGCTAGGTCTCGAGGATGTGGTGGTGAGCCAGATGGACACAGTCTTTGTCTTCCTGGTTCTCATGTTCTAGGGAAGCGACCTGGGGGTGGAGGGAGAAGAAAGGAGGGAGATTCACACTCAGAGATGGGGAGCAGGAGAGAAGAGAAGGCAGAGTGATAGGGACAAAGGGAGTAAATGAAAGAGAAGGGGAGGGATGAAGTCAGTGAAGGAGAGGTAGAGGGAGCAGGAGGAGGAGAAAGGAACAAAGTGTCAGATTGGAAGGGGGAGAAAGATGCGCACAGCTGCTTGCAGGGAGAGGAGAGAGAAGCAGCATGAGTGGGCCAAGAGGGAGTGTGTTGGGGGTTGGGAAGTGCCCCTTCCTGGGTGGGGATGGGGACTTGAGTTTAGCTTACTGCTGCCCAGCAGGGACTGATCAAGGAGCCGCCTCCATAGGCTTCCAGCTTACAGAGATGAATGAGATCCCGTCCAGCAGAGTCCCTGGGGAGTCTTCCTGGAGCCAGGATCTGAATAAGCTTATGTTGGCTGGCAGCCAAGCCTGGGAGGCGGCATGGCTGGGTGGTTTTGGGTGCCCTTTGGGAAGCCCAAACCCCCCAGCCAGGCCCTGAGCCAGCCTAGTCCACTTTGATTCCCCCAGTACCCAGCCTGGATCTCTGGGGAAGAGACAGGCTGCCTTTCTCTAGATTGGAAGTCAAGGGGATTTGTATCCCAGGAATTTAGACTCAGGGATTGGGGCTGGAAGGGAAATTGGAATCCTTTCATTCAATCTCTGTTCTACGTATTCATTCAGCTTGGGTCTTGAGAACTTACAGGGTGGTGGGAGACGGACAGCACTTTCGTAATGACCCAGGAGCCAGGAGAGAAGCCCATGGTGGGATGTGGAGGGAGGGCTTTGGAAGAGGTGGCCTTTGAGGGTCTGTTATGTGCCAGGCTCTTGAATCCAGAGATGAATGACCTAGTCCTGCCTCCAGGGATGACTCAGAGCATGGGGAAAGCTGTGCTTAGACCGGGCATGGGCTTTGTGACCCATAGATTGTAAGGAGCCATAAACTTTTTTTTTTTTTTTGAGACAGAATCTTGCTCTGTCTCCCAGGCTGGAGTGTAGTGGTGCAATCTCGGCCCACTGCAACCTCTGCCTCCCGGGTTCAAGCAATTCTCCTGTCTCAGCCTCCCGAATAGCTGGGACTACAGGTGCATGCCACCACACCCTGCTAATTTTTGTTTTTTAGTAGAGACTGGATTTCACCATATTGGTCAGGCTGGTCTTGAACTCTTGACCTCAGGTGATCCACCTGCCTTGGCCTCCCAAAGTGCTGGAATTACAGCCATAAGCCACTGTGCCTGGGCTTTAAATGGTTTTGACAAAGTCAGGTTTGTGTGGTTTTTACTGCTCCAGGTCTCCTGTAGAAAACAGATGCTAGGAAGTGAAGGGACTCACCTAGGGAGGTAGAGCTGGGGCCAGAACTCAGAACTCCTGACTCCTGGTGGGTCCTGATGCCTGGAGTCCTCAGTGACCCCCCCGGCCCTGGCCCTCCTCTACAGTCTCCTCAGCTGCGGCCTCTTTCTCCTCTCTTTTCAGGCTCCTACTTGATGGTCAACACTTCTCAGCATGCCCCAGGCCAGCGAGCCCATGTCATCTTCCAGAGCCTGAGTGAGAATGACACCCACTGTGTGCAATTCAGCTACTTCCTGTATAGCCGGGACGGGCACAGCCCGGGCACCCTGGGTGTCTATGTGCGCGTTAATGGGGGCCCCCTGGGCAGTGCCGTCTGGAATATGACTGGATCCCACGGCCGTCAGTGGCACCAGGCTGAACTGGCGGTCAGCACTTTCTGGCCCAATGAATATCAGGTGGGCTGGGTTCAGGCTGTGGTCATCTGTGCCTGGGGATGGGGCAGATGGATGTCAGCTTGAGGTTGAAGTAGGTGGGTGGGTGAAGTTAGAATGAGTCTGCATTCAGCATCAGAGGCAACCTGTGGTCAAGGCCAGGGGTCAGTGTGGGGCCAGTCTGGTTCAGCATCTGAGGTCATTGTTCATAGGAACAGTCCCCAGCCCCTGTCAAGGGTAAGTTGGAACAGTTCTGACCTGGAAACCCTGCCTGGCTGCTTGAGGGTAGCTGTCCAGGACTGGGATGGAAACTGGCTTCCACCTTGTTCACTATGGGCATTGACATCCCACCCCCAACTAGCTGGCTTGGTAGGGAGGGTCAGTGTGAGCAGGGCTGACCTCTGCTGGTTTAGGAAGAGGAGGCTGGGGCCAAGCTGAAAGTGGGCACCTCCCCAGGCAGGGCTGGAGGGATATCAGTGTGACAGGGGCCCTCTCGCTTCCCCCAGGTGCTGTTTGAGGCCCTCATCTCCCCAGACCGCAGGGGCTACATGGGCCTAGATGACATCCTGCTTCTCAGCTACCCCTGCGGTGAGTCCCAACCCACTGGGGGCGCAGGGGTGAGGGGTGCGGGCGGCCGCAGCTCCTGCCTGCAGGGGGCGCAGGGTCAGCTCACGCCGCGGCTCTAACCCCGCAGCAAAGGCCCCGCACTTCTCCCGCCTGGGCGACGTGGAGGTAAACGCAGGCCAGAACGCGTCGTTCCAGTGCATGGCGGCGGGCAGAGCGGCCGAGGCCGAACGCTTCCTCCTGCAGGTGAGCGGGAGCGGGGACCTTGGCTGTGGGGGTGGTGATGGCTGTTTATGGCCCTGACTCCCCGCAGGATGCTGAGTCCCTGCTTCGTAGTCCAGCACCACGCACAGCGTCCGGGCCCTCCCCTAGCTCCGCTCTGCACTCTCTTGGGTCCTCCATTCCCCCAGGTCAGAGCACGGCTCCAGGAACCTATGTCTGCGCTGTGTAGTAGGGACGGCTAAATGGGGCCCAGGTCAGAGCGAGATCGGGACCCTCGCTCCGAGGCGCCCCTGACCCTCTCACCCTCTTCCCCGCAGCGGCAGAGCGGGGCGCTGGTGCCTGCGGCGGGCGTGCGGCACATCAGCCACCGGCGCTTCCTGGCCGCTTTCCCGCTGGTTGCCGTGAGCCGCGCCGAGCAGGACCTGTACCGCTGCGTGTCCCAGGCGCCGCGCGGCGCGGGCGTCTCCAACTTCGCGGAGCTCATTGTCAAGGGTCAGCGAGCCGACGCGGTGGAGCGCCAGGACTTCTACCCTCGAGGGGCGGGGCCGGCGGCGGGGGCGGGGTCTGCCCGGGGGCGTGGCCGTGGGGCCTGCAGTGTGTCACGGGGGCGCGATCTGAAGGTGGGCCTGCGGAGGGGGCAATGGCCCAGCCGGGATGAGGTCTGATCCAGGGGTCAGGGCTGGCGACGAGGGGGGCGGACAGGGTCAAGGTGAGAGCCTGGAGAGGGGTGGGGATCTGGCTGTGTGACCAGCCAGTCTGGGAGGATGGGGAGGGATTTGGGTATGGTGGGACGCAGAGTTGGGTCCTGGGGTCTCACAGAACCATCGGTCCGCCCCGCCTTTCCCCCATCTCCTCGTAGAGCCCCCCACTCCCATCGCGCCCCCACAGCTGCTGCGTGCTGGCCCCACCTACCTTATTATCCAGCTCAACACCAACTCCATCATTGGCGATGGGCCGATCGTGCGCAAGGAGATCGAGTACCGCATGTCGCGTGGGCCATGGGCCGAGGTGCACGCAGTCAGCCTGCAGACTTACAAGCTGTGGCACCTTGACCCAGACACAGAGTATGAGATCAGCGTACTACTCACGCGTCCGGGAGATGGCGGCACTGGTCGCCCCGGGCCACCTCTCATCAGCCGTACCAAATGCGCAGGTGGGTGCAGCTGCTACCCCTGGCCACAGTCCCTAGTGTGAGAACCTGGATATGGGCCCAGGGCTATGAAGGGCCACATTTGAGAGGTAGAGTGGCCTGGATTTGTGCTTGTAAACCTTTCTAAAACATTGCGATTTTTCCTCGATCCTTGTGATAGTAAAGGTAATTATAGCTAATACTTTACTTTGTGTCAGGCACTTAAACGTATACACACAGCCCATAATTTATAGATTTAAAGCTTACAACACCACCACGATGTAGGTGCTCTTGTTGTACCCATTTTACAGATGTGGTGACTGAGGTACAGAGATGTTAGGTGACACAGCTAGTAAGTGGCATAGATGGGACTGGAATTCTTGACTGGCTGGCTCCAGAATTTGTGTTCTTAATTCTACGTTTAGATAAAATAATCGACTAAACACCATCACATTCAAGTGTGTTATAAATTCTAGCTGGTTTCTCTTGTCTGGGCATTGAGCCTGGGGTCTGCTCTTCCTTGTTAAAGAGGGTAAAGCAGCTGTTGGAGGATGGTACACCTGTGCCAGACGAGGGTCTTTTTTTGGTTTAATTAGAGGAGAAATTGAGAACAGAACAGGTTTTTCTTCTTTTGACTTTAGTGTTTTTTTTTGTTTTTCTTTGAGACAGAGTTTTGCTCTGTTACCCAGGCAGAGGTGCGATCTTGGCTCACAGGAACCTACACCACCTGGGTTCAAGCGATTCTCCTGTCTCAGCCTCCCGAGTAGCTGGGATTACAGACACACACCACTATACCCAGCTAATTTTTGTATTTTTAGTGGAGAGGGTTTCACCATGTTGGCCAGGCTGCTCTCAAACTCTTGACCTTAGGTGATCCACCCACCTCAGCCTCCCAAAGTGCTAGGATTACAAGAGTGAGCCACCATGCCTGGCCTAGTGTGTTTTTTTAATGGACTTAAGATAACTGTGGATTCATATGCAGTTGTAAGAAAAATATAGAAAGATTCTCTGTACACTTTACCCTATTTTCTGCAGTGGTAACATGTTGCAAAACTATAGTATAATATCACAATCGAGATATTCACATTGATACAATCCACAGATCTTATTCAGACTTTTCCGGTTTTGTTTGTACGTGTTTGTGTGTGTGTGTATGTGTGTATATAGTTCTGCAGTTTGTCACATGTATAAGTGTATTCACCACTACAGTTGAAATACTGAATAGTTCAATCCCCTTAAGGACTCTTTTAAACCATATTCACTTCCCTTTCTTCGTCTACTCCGCAGCTCTTGGTAGTCACTAATCTGTCCTTCATTTCTAAAATTTTGTTTTTTCAAAAATATTATATGAATGAAATCAGAGTATATAACCTCTGGAGTTGGCTTTTTTTGGGTAACAGCTTTATTGCAATATAATCCACATCTCATACAATTCAGTCATTAAAATGTACAATTCAGTGGTTTTTAGTATACAGTAGTCCCCCTGTATCTGTGGTTTCTCCTGTGGTTTTTGTTACCTGTGGTTAACTTGAGGCTTGAAAAGATGAGTACTGCACAATAAGATATCTTGAGAGAGAGAGAGAACACATTCATAAAACTTTTATTATAGGCCGGGCGCGGTGGCTCAAGCCTGTAATCCCAGCACTTTGGGAGGCCGAGGCGGGTGGATCTCGAGGTCAAGAGATCGAGACCATCCTGGTCAACATGGTGAAACCCCGTCTCTACTAAAACTACAAAAAATTAGCTGGGCATGGTGGCACGTGCCTGTAGTCCCAGCTACTCAGGAGGCTGAGGCAGGAGAATTGCCTGAACCCGGGAGGCGGAGGTTGTGGTGAGCCGAGATCGCGCCATTGCACTCCAGCCTGGGCAACAAGAGCGAAACTCCGTCTCAAAAAAAAAAACAAAAAAAAAACCAAAACTTTTATTATAGTGTGTTGTTGTAATTGTTCTATTTTATTATTATTGTTGTTAATCTCTTACTGTGCCTAATGTGTAAATTAAACTTTATCATAGGTATGTATGTATAGGAAAAACATAGTTTATCTAGGATTTGGTACTATCTGTGGTTTAAGGCATCCACTAGGATCTTAGAACATGTCCCCTGGGGATACGGGGGGGACCACTGTATTCACAGAGTTATGCAACCATTAACACAATCAATTTGGTAACATTTTCATCACCTTAGAAGGAAATTTTCTATTATTTAGCAGCCGTCCCCATTTTACCTGTACACCTCTAGCCCCAGGCAACCTCGAATTTCCTTTCTGTCCCTATAGATTTGCCCCTCTGTGGATATTTCACAAAAATGGAATAATACAATATATAGTCTTTTATGACTGGCTTCTTCCATTCATTTCTTATTCTTATTTTTACTTTTTTGAGATGGAGTCTCTGTCACCCAGGCTGGAGTACAATGGCGCCATCTTGGCTCACTGCAACCTCTGCCTCCTGGGTTTAAGTGATTCTCTTGCCTCAGCCTCCCGAATAGCTGGGATTACAGGTGTCCACCACCATGCCTGGCTAATTTTTGTATTTTTAGTACAGATGGGATTTTGCCATGTTGGCCAGGCTGATGTCGAATTTCTGACCTCAGATGATCTTCCCACCTTGGCCTCCCAAAGTGTTGGGATTACAGGCGTGAGCCACAGCATCCAATCCTTCTTGCATTTAGCAGAATGTTTTCAAGATTTATCCTTGTTGTAGCATGTAGCAGTACTCCATTATTTTTTTATTGATGAATAATTTTCCATTATAGAAATATATCACATTTTGACATTCATCAGTTGATAGAAATTGGGGTTGCTTATACTTTTTGGCTATTATGAACAGTATTGCCATATTTGTGTACAGGCTTTTATATTGATATATGTTTTTATTTTTCTTGAGTATGTACCATATATATCATAAGGTATCTCTTTGTTTATATATTGAGGAACTGCTGGACTGTTTTTCAATGCAGTTGTACCACTTTACATTCCCACTGCTGTTCTATGAGGGTCTCTACATCCTTGCCACCACTTGCTATTATCTGTCTTCATATTACAAGCACTCTAGTGTATGTCAAATGGTATCTTGTGATTTTGATTTGCATTACCCTGATGGCTAATGATATCGAACATGTTTTCATGTGCTTATTGACCATTTCTATATCTTCTTTGTATAAATGTCTATTCAGATTGTTAAAAATAACCAATTTTTAAGTTGGGTTATCTGTCTTATTACTGAATTGTAAGAGTTGTTTATATATTCTGAGTAGGCCAGGTGCAGCAGTGACTCACACCTGTAATCCCAGCACTTTGGAAGGCTGAGGAGGGCAGATCACTTGAGGCCAAAACTTGGAGACCAGCCTAGCCAACATGGGGACACCCAGTCTCTACTAAAAATACACAAATTAGCCAGGTTGGTGGCAGGTGCCTGTTGTCCCAGCTACTTGGGAGGCTGAGGCACGAGAATTGCTTGAATCTGGGAGGCGGAGGTTGCAGTGAGCTGAGATGGGGCCACTGCACTCCAGCCTGGGTGACAGAGTGAGACTCTGTCTCAAAAAAAAAAGTTATTTATATATTCTGAACACTAGATACTTATCAGATGCTTATGTTTGCAAATACTTTCTCCCATTCTGTGGATTATATTTTCTTTTTCTTGGTAGATTTTTTTTGAAGCACAAAAGTCTTCAATTTATCTATTTTTTTTCTTTTGTTGTTTGTGGTTTTGATGTTATACCTAAGAAACCATTGGCTATTTACAGTCATAAAGATTTACTCCTGTATTTTTTTCTAAGGGCTTTATAGTTTTAGCTGTTACATTCAGTTCTTTGATCCATTTTGAGTTAATTTTTCAAATGTGGTGTGAGGTAGGGATCCAGCTTCATTCTTTTTTTTTTTTTTTGAGACAGAGTTTCACTCTTGTCCCCCAGGCTGGAGTGCAATGGTGTGATCTTAGCTCACTGCAACCTCCATCTCCTGGGTTGAAGCGATTCTCCTGGGTTGAAGCGATTCTCCTGCATTGAAGCAATTCTTCTGCCTCAGCCTCCTGAGTAGATGGGATTACAGGCACACGCCACCATGCCCAGCTAGTTTTTGTATTTTTGGTAGAGACAGGGTTTCACCACATTGGCCAGTCTGATCTTGAACTCCTCACCTTAGGTGATCCACCCACCCCAGCCTCCCAAAGTGTTGGAATTATAGACGTGAACCACTGCACCTGGCCAACTTAATTCTTTTGTATGTAGATCTTCATTACCATTTGTTGAAAAGCCTATTCTTTTCTTATTGAATTATCTCGGCACTGGGATTGGTTTCTTTCATTCAGCATAGTTTCCTTCATCCAAGTTGTATATATCAGTAGTTTATTACTTTTTTTTGCTGAGTAGTATTCCATGGTGCGGAAATGCCAGTTTGTAAATAGCATTTGCCTGTTGAATGACATCTGAGCTGCTTCCACTTTTTCGTTATTATAATAAAGCTTCTGTGATCATTCATACATAGGTTTTTGCCTAAACATAGCTTTTCGTTTTTCTGGGATAAATGCTCAAGAGTGCAATTGATGAGTCATATGGTGATTGCATCTTTAGTTTCATCAGAAACTGCCAGAGTGGCTATATTGTTTTATATTCTCACCAACAATGTATGAATGATCCAGTTTTCTGCATCCTTGCCAGCATTTCGTGTTGTCACTATTTTTAATTTTGGACTTCTTGAGAGGTGTGTAGTGATGTCCCATCATGGTCTTAATTTGCATCTCTTCAGTATCTAGTGATGTTGAACATCTTTTCTTGTTTTTTGTTTTGTTTTGGATAAGGGGTCTCACTTGGTTGTCCAGGCTAGAGTGCAGTAGCATGATCTCAGCTCACTGCAACTTCTGCCTCCCAGGTTCCAGCGATTCTTGTGCCTCAGCCTCTCGAGTAGCTGGGATTACGGGTGCACACCACCATGCTGGCTAAATTTTGTACTTTTAATAGAGACAGGGTTTTGCCATGTTGGCCAGGCTGTTCTCAAACTCCTGACTTCAAGTGATCTGCTCACCTG